TCCACAAAAACCAGTCACAAGCAAATCCAACTAATTACAATTCAATCTCTATACGTATATAATTTACAGTTTATACACCATTCATAAGATCACCTGCTTACAAGAACAGCTCTTTGCTTATCAGCTCACCTCCTGCAAGACTTGAAACATCAAATCATTTACCACAAAGCCATGGAAGGTTCCTATTTCCCCTATTTGAGGAAGCGCAAAGCCATGGAGGGTCCCTATTTCCACTATTCCCCCTGTTTGTTTGGTCCGTGTCAAGTCTTGAGTCTTGAGGCTGATCTGCCCCAGAGATAGAGGTAAATAGGGACGCTCCATAGTTTCGTGCTTCCCTCAAATAGCAAAAAAAAATAGGGGAAAGGGGATCCTTCAGCTTCCCTAGCTTAGGGTATGCGAACGATGACGGGACCGTCTCACTGTTTCAGTTTCCCAAGCTTGAAACACTGGAAGCAGCTCTTCTCACAAATATCTGGGTGCATTCTCACAAGATCTTCTGAGCATCTCCTCTATAAGCACAGACCTTGTCTCAACTCTAGCACTATGTGCGTTCCTACCCTCAAGGCAATTTGCTGTAGAGGTTTCTTGCTGCTGTCCCGCAACGAGAATACTGTCAGATGATTCGGCAGATACCGTAGTCTCACAGAATATCTGCAAAATGATGCGTTAGAATGTAGGCTGAGCCAATATGTCAGGAAGCCGAATATACCCAAAGACGTGACATGTGTTTGGCAGAATATACACATCAAAATATGCATCAGACGCTCAAACAAGTTTGCGTGCAGGAATCGTTGTGGTTGTTCTGTCTGCTGCAAATGCTGGAACAATTGCCGCAGCTTGAGAGGATTCGGTTGTCAATATGATGATGATGATGACGATGATGATGATGGTGATGATGGTGGTGGTGGTGATGATGATCATGATGATTGGTATTGATGATGATTGATAATGACTGAGGATAATTGATGATGATGGATGCTTATTCATGACGAATCATGATGATTCATGATGGTTGATGTTGATTGAACTTGATTGATGATGAAGAAGAAGAATATGATGACGATGATGACGGTGACAATGCTGATGCTGAGGTTTAGGATGAGTAAGAGGATGCTGAGGATGAGGATGGGAATGATGATGACGATGATGATGATGATGATGATGGTGTGTTGTGTTTGCAGGAGATGTCCCTCTTTCAAAACATTTCAGTACCTACATCGACATAGAAGTCGGCGCGTCAATGTCATGCCATCAAACTGTGCTTACAAACAACTCACTACGCAGAAGTCATCCCAGGCTGTCATCCTGAATTTTGACAGTGAGCCAGCGCAAGAAAGACGAATGCTTCATGTCCTTGTAGGATCTTATAGGCTGGATTTCTTTCGCATGGCACCTGTATCCATCATGCGTACGCAAAAGACTGGGTTGCAAGGACGCTTGTAGCGATGATACCTCCGGCTTTGCAATCTGCAGCGCTTGTCCCAGACAAGTTAATTTGTAGAGTTGCAATATTGCTAGCTGCTATATAAGGGTCAAGTATAGAGTCGGGATTCCTTCACATTTCTGCAGCACTTAATTTGAGATGTCGGCTTGTTGACAAATATCAAGCGCACATGCTTGCTAAATTCTACTGTGGATGCGGGTCATTACTCGAAGTAAAACTATTTCCCCACCTGCCAGGTGAGGGTTGTTAGATTTTATCACAGTTGTTCTTCTCCTCCTCCTCCTCGGCTAGCTATCCTCCTCCTCCTCTTCCTCCTCCTCGTCCTCCTCCTCCTTCTCCTCCGCCTGTTTCTCCTCGACCATGTCTGCATCAACTTCCACCTCAACTTCCGCCTTGCCAACTCTTGGCCAAGCTCTTTGCCAACTTCCCAGCTCAGTGTGCACCACTGGACCTCAACCTGGGACCTTCCGAGCTCAGTGTGCACTGCTGGACCTCAACCTGGAAAGATATGCCAGATAAAATGCCATGAGATATGCCAGATAGACTGCCAGAAGATATGCCAGATAGAATGTTAGAAGATATGCCAGATAGAATGCCAGATCCAATGCCAGAAGATATGCCAGATAGAATGTCAGATAGAATGCCAGAAGCTATGCCAGATAGAATGCCAGAAGGTATGCCAGAGAGAATGCCAGATAAAATGCCAGATAGAATGCCAGAAGATATGCCAGATAGAGTGCCAGAAGATATGCCAGATAGAATGTTAGAAGATATGCCAGATAGAATGCCAGATCCAATGCCAGAAGATATGCCAGATAGAATGTCAGATAGAATGCCAGAAGCTATGCCAGATAGAATGCCAGAAGGTATGCCAGAGAGAATGCCAGATAAAATGTCAGATAGAATGCCAGAAGATATGCCAGATAGAATGCCAGAAGGTATGCCAGAGAGAATGCCAGATAAAATGTCAGATAGAATGCCAGAAGATATGCCAGATAGAATGCCAGAAGATATGCCAGATAGAGTGCCAGAAGATATGCCAGATAGAATGTTAGAAGATATGCCAGATAAAATGCCAGATCCAATGCCAGAAGATATGCCAGATAGAATGTCAGATAGAATGCCAGAAGATGTGCCAGATAAAATGCCATGAGATATGCCAGATAGAATGTCAGATAGAATGCCAGAAGATATGCCAGATAAAATGCCATGAGATATGCCAGATAGAATGCCAGATAAAGTGCCAGAAGATGTGTCAGATAAACTGCCAGAAAATTGCCAGATAGAATGCCAGAAGATATGCCAGATAGAATGCATAAGATGTGCCAGGTAAAATGCCAGAAGATATGCCAGATAGAATGCCAGAAGATATGCCAGAAGATATGCCAGAAGATATGCCAGATAGAATGCCAGAAGTTATGTCAGATAGAATGCCAGAAGGTATGCCAGATAGAATGCGAGAAGGTTTGCCAGATAGAATGCCAGTTAGAATGCCAGAGATATGTTAGAGTATATGCCAGAACATATGCCAGATAGAATGCTAGATAGAATGCCAGCAGATTTGTCAGAATATATGCCAGAAGATATGCCACATAGAATGCCAGAAGATATGCCAGAAGTTATGCCAGATAGAATGCCAGAAGATATGCCAGATAGAGTGCCAGAAGATATGCCAGATAGAATGTTAGAAGATATGCCAGATAGAATGCCAGATCCAATGCCAGAAGATATGCCAGATAGAATGTCAGATAGAATGCCAGAAGATATGCCAGATAAAATGCCATGAGATATGCCAGATAGAATGTCAGATAGAATGCCAGAAGATATGCCAGATAAAATGCCATGAGATATGCCAGATAGAATGCCAGATAAAGTGCCAGAAGATGTGCCAGATAAAATGCCAGAAGATATGCCAGATAGAATGCCAGAAGATTTGCCAGATAGAATGCCAGATAGAATGCCAGAAGATATGTCAGATAGAATGCCAGAAAATATGTCAGATAGAATGCCAGAAGATTTGCCAGTAACAAAACGTGTAGATGTCATGGTGGGGATAACACGAAGTAAAGTAATTTGCACCATTTTGCTGCACAGGATGTTAGCCCTGTGCCAAGATTGAATCTAAGTTTGGTAGCAATGGTTCTGTGGCGCGTATTAAAGAAATAGTTGCTGCCCTTGTTTCGGGATCCCAGGAGGCACCGTTTGTCCCTAATATGTATATATATATATTATACAGCCCGAGCGCTGGTTAAGAATCCGAAATCTTGAGGCCCAGGGTCCCTCAAATTCTTAAGGTATTCTTAGTTATGTATTGCATGCATCTGCACAATTCTTATACAGTGAATTCTTCTACAATACTCAACCTTTATATAATATTATATACGCTATTTATATATAAATATAAACATATATATATATATGTAATGTACAGTCAATATGTATGTACGCGACGCCCCGCCAGTTTTTTTTGGTAGATATGTCCTTGGCCTCGTTTTCATTACTATTTAGCTTCGGCCATGTATTGTAGTGCAGTTGGTACAGTAAGTACTTTGGATGTGTGAGCCTTGGTACAGCTGGACCACACATGCCACCATCATCACCATCTCTTCGTAGTCCATATTAGGACTTGGAATTTTGAAAGGACATATTGATACATGTTGCAAATTTGGCACAAGAATTGCTGCGCTGCGGTTCTCAAGTGAGCATGCATTTTGTTGAAAGTCAGAGTGCGTACTTAAAATGACATGTGCTTGTTTAAAATGTGTGTTGCGCTGTGCCTCGTGTATACTTGTTTAAAGGAAGGAAGGCTATCCATTGAAAAAACTGAGTTTTTCTCGAAGAATTCTGACTCCTTTGAATCAACGTATTGTTGGAAAACTGTTGTTGTCAATGAGATTTGCTTCGTCAATTTTTGCCACATTCCAGGATATTCCAGAAACTATTGTTTCATATGTAGGTCAAATTGTATTTGTTAAGGCAATGCTTTATTTCGTTTTTTTTTGCCAGGCCAAATATGTTTCCCTTTCAAAAGTATTGCGTTTTGTAAAGCGAGTGTATTAGTGTACAGTGTACGCTCAGTTTTTGGAAAGGACTAGTATGTACACAAATAGCGACTACGGATTCAAAACGAGTGCGCCCTTTTCACAGAATGCTGCGTCCTTTGTATCTGCTTGCTCAACAAAATTCATCCATCAATAAGATTTTACCTCTTCGAGAATGAATTTCCCCAAAATTCATGCCGCATTCATGACAGAAATATCATGTTTTGAAGTAACAGTGCGTTTGTTTGAAAGATGCCCTTTGTTATCCAAGGATATTTCGAAAGGTATTGTTTTTGTGCTTCAAAGAATATTGTGCTTCAAAGCGGCTATACAGATATACGGTAATATATATATATGTATAAATATATGTGTATATATATGTATATACATGAATGTATTCTCCGGTCCAACAGGGGTAGCATACATGAAGCCTGGACGACCGGAGTTTCAATCTCAAGTTCTGGCTCACTCCCTGCTCTAGGCTTCCCGTGAGGTAGGAGCTGGGGGGTGAGCTGATGGGACTAAAGCTGGTGGCTTCCTCTTGCCTGCCAGGCTTCCTCGTGGAGCAGGCGAGCTATAGAGGGAGCCCAAGTGGAAAAGGGTCTAAGACGATGGGACAGAATTGGGGAGACACGAGACCCGTCAGTGCGCAGCGGGAAGCCCTTCTCGACACTACCAGGTTTCGCAAAGGATTGAGCCTCGATAGTGCTGGATGACTACGCGGCCCTGGCAGTGGTTTCACGCCTTGGCGCGGTCTCCCAGTCTCCGTTGGATCAGGGCGGCTCCAGTGTAAAGTTTTTGATGCAGGGAAGCTCACGATGAGATCCATTGGCCACAAAAAGGGAGGCGAGGTGTCTCTCACTGCATACGCCTTCGACCAGCCAGATCTGGTAGAGGCGGTCCATCCGTATGATCGCGGATATGGGCCAATCTCAAGGAAATCGCACCAAGCTGCAAATGCAAACCATCCAACAGGCCTCCAGAGTAAGCGTGGACAAGAGCGTTCATGGTCTGCAGCACTCAAAGACGATGTTGGTGCGCATTACGGACAAGTCGTACCTGGTCATTGGCAGAGCAAATTGGACCACTGCCTCTCGTTCCAAATGTTGAGATGGCAGTACTGTCCATAGAAGGTCGGTCGGACCTGAAGGTGTTCACCGACTATGCAGCAAATTTTGACAAGACCTGGGAGGAAGCCCAAGTGCTGCAAGGAGCACAGCCGTCGGATGGCTGAGGAGCTCAAAGAATGTACTTTTTCCGCTACTTGGCGTGGTAATGCGCCAGGGGCTCCAGTGCGGTGGCGTTTGCCATTCGCAACGCTGTGACCGTCGCTAGCACCAACCCAGCTGAGGGGCGATTGTAGAGCGCCATTGCCCACATGTATAGTGCTAGTCCACCCCCTATATGTACAGTTGTTTCACCTGTTCTTTTTGGCCCAAGTGGCTCGTAGTAGTTGCTTCAGTAGCTCCGTGCTTTTCACTTAGAGCCTAGCGGCATCCGCCGCGACCGCGCGTGCAAAAGTGGTCACAACAGCTGTTCCTGGGTGTGCTTGGGGACAACCACAGAACATTCCTCCATATAATCATGGTATCTAGGATTTGCTCACTAATGTGGCTGCTATCTTCAATGGTACCTATAAAGATTCAAAGGAGTTAGCGAACTGACAAGATACGTAGTTCTTAGTAAATCATCAGGTGTGGATCGCGACACTGGTTTAGAGGGCTGTAATGACCAGCATCAGAAACTGCAATAGGGACCATGTCCATCAGACATGGATGGAAAAACATTGTAGTGTAACCAACATGAGCAAACGGATGACACCATTCGATATGGGGGACAAATAGGAATGCAACATGAGATTCGACACCATAGTTTGCCATGGAACCATCTTGAGAGCTAGGCTGTCGCAAAATCACTGGGTTCCGAGTTTCTCAAAACCGGGGGTTCAACTTCAACCCCATGGTCAATCCCAAAACCAACCCAACACCTTTGCTAATCTTGCGGATTTATGTTTCTAGGCTTCATCAGGATCAGTATGGTTCATGTATATAGGTGTGTGAAAATAGGTAGCTTGCAATATATGGTGGTGTCCATAAATGGGGCACCCCAAATGGATGGTTTATTACAAGGAAAAACTTAGTAAAATGGAACATGACCTAGGGAACAATAAATATCAGTAAATATCACGAATCAAAGTGCCTGCCAGGAGTGGCATTGGATGCTGTGACGGTAGGGCAGCAGGGGGTCTCCTGGGGCTTTGGCATTGCCAAAACCGCTACGTCCATGGGTGCCTGGGCTATGACCCTCCCGGGCCCGGGTTTAGAACCCCTTCCCCCATTAAGCCCTTAGATGCCCTCCAGAAACCATTGTTTAGGGACCATCTAGGAGATGAAACCACATTCTCGGGACCATCTAGGGGGTGTTTCATGCTAGGAAGATGCGATGAATGGGAATAGAATGGGAAATTGATCTACACATGAATGGGGATCTATACATATATATATATATAAGGAAACAATTTGGGAATAACAACTGCGCGGGGTGGTGCGCCAGTTCGTTTACTAAGTTGGTTGATAAGTGGGTCAACTAGGGTTTATGGCGATTTTGACCAAAATTAGATGAGATTGCCAAACCAACTTAGAAAAGGAGGGCACAAACTTGTACCAACGAGATATCAAGGAGCAGAATGGTCTGGTACCCGAATATGATGAGAGAATCCCATTCTATCCACTGGTTCACCATCATTTTCTCTTCAACAACACCACACATTGGGGCATATTCCATTTTCAGAGACACCCAGGTGGCACAAATTGCATCCAATGGCCATTTCGGCATATTCTGGTGAGTTGTATCTCAGTATAGGTTGCAACTCAAATTCAAAGCCACTTGGCAGCTTTGGGGAATATCAAGTACTGGATATATGTAGTTGCATGATACACATTTCCCTAAGGCTTTGGATGTATCCAACCTTTTTGATATATATATATAGTTGCACATATGTATCACACATCCCACAACTACATGTCATCAATGATATGTTGTCCATACTATATCCGCATTATATACATTTTATTGGCATGTTATTTACATATTACATTCAGATTATATCCACTTATCATTGGACATACTTGTATTTGTGATATTTTTTTGTAAGATACTGATCTTGTCCTATGTATGTATGTATGTATGTATGTATGTACATACATATATACACACACACATATATATATATACTTAGGTATAAGCAATTATTCTCTGTTTGTTCAATCCAAATTCATGTTTGGGTCAAGTTTTTTAACAATTCCATATTCTACCTACTCCAGGTATTTAAAAGATATGTAAAATAATGTACAGATAGATACAAATGCTATACAATACATATTCTATCTACCCCAGAATGACTAGATACATATATCTAATCACTTTGTTTATAGTATACACATGTATTTATCCATGTAGATTCACATATACATAGTGTAATTTATATTTATAGTAGAAATTTCATGGCGGTTATAGCAAGATACGTGTTATTTCTTTCAATGCTCGTATATTCCACAATTTAACAGATAAATAGATAGATATATATATATATACCATGTGATTATCCATAGTCATATTCTAGTAATATATATATATTATATAATCATAATCATTTACATACATTCAAATATATACATATATATAAATACGTGGATATATACATCTATCATAATCATACACATTCAAAACTCTAACGCACATATATGTAATCATAGATAATCATATTTAATCATATATATATATACACATGTTATTTAATCATTTACATACATTCAAATATATACATATATATAAATACGTGGATATATACATCTATCATAATCATACACATTCAAAACTCTAACGTGCATATATGTAATCATAGATAATCATATTTAATCATATATATATACACATGTTATTTAATCATTTACATACATTCAAATATATACATATATATAAATACGTGGATATATACATCTATCATAATCATACACATTCAAAACTCTAACGTACATATATGTAATCATAGATAATCATATTTAATCATATATATACACATGTTATTTAATCATTTACATACATTCAAATATATACATATATATAAATACGTGGATATATACATCTATCATAATCATACACATTCAAAACTCTAACGTACATATATGTAATCATAGATAATCATATTTAATCATATATATATACACATGTTATTTAATCATTTACATACATTCAAATATATACATATATATAAATACGTGGATATATACATCTATCATAATCATACACATTCAAAACTCTAACGTACATATATGTAATCATAGATAATCATATTTAATCATATATATATACACATGTTATTTAATCATTTACATACATTCAAATATATACATATATATAAATACGTGGATATATACATCTATCATAATCATACACATTCAAAACTCTAACGTACATATATGTAATCATAGATAATCATATTTAATCATATATATACACATGTTATTTAATCATTTACATACATTCAAATATATACATATATATAAATACGTGGATATATACATCTATCATAATCATACACATTCAAAACTCTAACGTACATATATGTAATCATAGATAATCATATTTAATCATATATATATATACACATGTTATTTAATCATTTACATACATTCAAATATATACATATATATAAATACGTGGATATATACATCTATCATAATCATACACATTCAAAACTCTAACGTACATATATGTAATCATAGATAATCATATTTAATCATATATATATACACATGTTATTTAATCATTTACATACATTCAAATATATACATATATATAAATACGTGGATATATACATCTATCATAATCATACACATTCAAAACTCTAACGTACATATATGTAATCATAGATAATCATATTTAATCATATATATATACACATGTTATTTAATCATTTACATACATTCAAATATATACATATATATAAATACGTGGATATATACATCTATCATAATCATACACATTCAAAACTCTAACGTACATATATGTAATCATAGATAATCACATTTAATCATATATATATATACACATGTTATTTAATCATTTACATACATTCAAATATATACATATATATAAATACGTGGATATATACATCTATCATAATCATACACATTCAAAACTCTAACGTACATATATGTAATCATAGATAATCATATTTAATCATATATATATATATATATACATGTTATTTAATATAATATCCATACATGCGATATTCCAGATGAGGCTTTGGCGCCGCCACGGCCGCCCTTCGCTTCACCGGCGAGGTGGGTGGCCCGGCGGCGCAGGTGGTCACCGGCGGTGTGGAACAGGTGGGCTCCGCTGGCGGAGCCAGAGATGGCTGGGGAAAACCGGAAAACGGGCGAAAGTCGCGAGGAAAATGTGGATTGTCGTTGGAAAAATTGTGATTTTCATGGGATTAAAATAAATTAACTAGGAAAAATGGTGATATTCGGATTGAGCCATGATTTTACTGGTGATGTTCATGTAGTTCGATATTTTTCAATATATGGTTTAATCATGTTTCATACGGATATTCATGTTCAATCATGTTTAATGGTGATTTAACAATATTTAAACAACAATAATGGTAGTTTGACGTGGTTTAGTCCTCAGCAGTTTGGCATGATTAATAAAAAGGGTGATATCATGATATATATATAGGTCGACAAATACTTATTTTTTTTTTTTAAACGTTGCTCCAATATTTAGCAGAGTAAAAAAATCTGAGTGTGTGGTCAGGAAACAACGCTTAGAACAATCACCAAAAATCTATACTTAGAACATCATTTGTGCACATGATGATGTTCTAAGTGTGTGTGTGTCTATTATACTACAAGTAATGGAGAATGCAATTTTGCAATACCGTCTAAAATACGGGGTGAGTATAGGAATGTTTCAAACCAGTTTTTAAACTTTGATGTGGGTAGAACAGAATGTGTGGGACAAACCATGTTTTCAGTGATGACCCCAGTGTCAAAAAAATACCGTGCCGTGCAAGATAAAAATGTGCATGAAGGATGTGCAGGCGGGTGTTTTTTGAATTTCCAATCATTTTTCCTTGCCTTAAGCGGAGAGACACTTAGAACATCAGACCAATTTTTCCCCCGTCAAAATACATGTTTTATGTGTTGATGTTCTGAGTGGTGGATTTCTTGATTTTTGATGTTCTAAGTGATGCACTTAGAACATCCCCATCTTGATTTTTCTGATGTTCTAAATGTGTGCGCCGGTGCGTTTGGAAAACGTTTGATGTCCTAAGTATTTGTCGACCTATATAATCGGAATATTTTTGGATGTATATTCAAAGTGATATTATACATAGGGCATGTGGGAAAATTCCCAATCATCTATAAAAGGGAAATTGATGGTGATTAGCCAACGATTTTTTTTGACACGTCATGCTGTGTGACTAACCAACTTAATAATGTACACAGTTACACAATATTCAGTCTGAAAAGTAATAATTTACTCAAATTATTGATATGAAAAAGGATGATAAAAACCAGTCAATGGAATGAGGTGCCCCCATAGTTTTCAGACAAACCCATGCGTGTCTCATTAATAACCCTCTGGTTATTGAGCATAGCTATGAAAAATGGCCCGTTCATAGATGATTTATATTGATTTATGATGATTTACCTATTCACACATGGTGATTGTCCATACTGTGCATGGAAGAAATCCTGCACCAGTTGAGAGATGGTTTAACAGATTTATATAATTGATTGCAGCCGAGGCAACGAGGTGGGCAACTCCTATTTAACGACAATAGCCTTAACCAATTGGGTTTTCCAGATTTAGTGAGAACACCGAGGTAAGTCATTTTGCTCCATGTGCATGCTCCGTAGTTGGAAAAACAACTTTTGAGATCTTTTGATGGTATAAAAACTTGTTATTGTTTTCAATGGGCAGCCGTTCCTGATTCAGCTTGTGCCCTCTTGCCACCATGAGGGTCAGAGTGAGACGGACTATGAACCATTCCAAATATCTGAATCAGACGGACATGTGGATTTGTCATGATTTGTTTGACACCCGGGTTCCCAAAACCCATCAAAGACTCCATGGATCTTCATCATTTGCAACCCAAAAATTGCCACAACTGGGGCTCAAATTCCACATCTTCAGACCCTGGGATGGGTCAAACATGGGTCAAACATTTGCAGGTTCTGAACTTTGCTCATGGTTGTACCAACTTGGGTCAGGACGGGGCTCCGAACGCAGATTTCTTTGAACCATTGCGGGAAAACACCAAATCCACTGGTTTCATACGACTGTCCGACTGTCCCTAACAACCGTTTTATCATTGTGGGATGTACCTTAATTCAGTGTGGTTTTGGTTCGGTTCGGCTTCGGTTTCTAGGCCCGGTTCGGTTCATGTTCGGTTTCGGTTCCTGCGGTTCCTGGTCGATTTCGGTTCGGTTGGGTTTGGTGTTTGGAACATTCTGCATTGATATTTGTTTTTTTTTCCGGCGTCGGAAAAGCAAATACAGATTGCTTCCGGCAAGAGGTTTCATTATTGCATCCCGCAAGTGGTTTCATGAGCAGCGGCTGTCAAAGAGCGGAGAGAGCTGAACTCGGAAAACCAAAGTTTCCTGAAATTGTCAGTGCAGGCAATTTAATATGAAGAAACCCATATTTGCATATATTTGCTTTTTTCATTGAACTCCAAAAGCAATTACAGCTTTTCCAATCAGTTTATTGGGGGAGGGTAAGACGGTTCCGGTTCCTCCGGTTCGGTTTTGCACACGGTTCCAGCGGTTCACGGTTCCTATACGGTTCATAGGCTATTTGATTTTCTACGGTTCGGTTCCACGGTTCCGGTTCGGTTCCAGAACCTTACTGTTAATTTTTGGAACCAGGACTCTAGGAGTTTGTGTGAGTCTGGGAATGCGGTAATCCCATCCCCCCAATTTTTTTCTTACCCCCCACATGGTCCAAATGAACAGATCCAATACATATACATTCCACCAGGGCTTCTGCGAGGTTTGTTTATACGGGAGATGGGTTTAGGAAGCTTTCGAAAGCCTCCAAAGTTGCTAAATTTTATCGAATGTGACATCACTTGTGACCTTACTCTATTGCTAACGCCATCAAAGTTCACCTCTCAACCTCGACAAAATATCGCTGGGCATACAGAACGGGAATGAATCAACATTGGGCCATTGTTGGTAGTAAACCGCCCAATGTTTGGCCACAGAAGAAACATGATGTTTACATGCTGCAACTGTGAAAAAGTTTCAGTGTTTTACCATCGGTACTGCATATTTAAATAGACAACAGTTTCGAACAAGGGTTCCAAATCCCACAAAGCAACTGTTTGTCAGGACTTGGCACACGGAATCACGCAGGCAGGGAACACACTGAACACACGATCGTCGATGGCTGGAGGATCCCCATCTACGTATATACCCATGACGGATCCATGCATGGTATATATGCTAACATAAAAGAGGGATATTGATGGTAAATGTTACCATATATATATAGCATACATGGATCCTATGGGATATGTATATATACTGTATATATTTCTATGCAAATGTGTATGTATACTATATATATATATATATACATATATCCATGTGTTAAGTTCAGGGATCATCGGTGGGTAGGAACCAGCTTCGTAGTCCAGGTGACTCACCACTCCTGGGGCCATCTAAGTGCAGCTCTACCTTCGATGGATGAAGTGATGAGCGAGCTATCAACGGTTCAAATTTTCTTTTCGGAAATTCATCAATACATCAAATAAATATTTCTAATAGTAGAAATATGTTTCTTTCTACATTCAAACAGTAGTTTATTATAGAATGTCTATAGAATACATCCAATTCTCGTAAAGCTTCGGTTTTTCTCGTTCAAAGTCCGACATCGAAATCTTGGGAGGGATGATCCCGACCCTGGGTTGGGGATGGTACCTTGTCCGTCGTTAACATGAGTGAACCAATTATATTAGCGTTTATTGAAATATTGCTGGTGACCATATTATTAATATTAGTGCAACATGTTTCCTTTATTTCCACTGTATTAGCGTTCATTGAAATATAGCTACAGCTAATTTAAAAATATTATATATATATATATCCCCAGCTGGATTATGTAGCAAATACCAATAATTTTCCAACTGAGGTGAATTATATGGCTAGCAACTGTGACATGTTCCAAAATCTAGTTGAATTTTACCGCTGTGTTTTGAGATTTGTTACTACATACGTTCTATTCTTCATTGTCCACTATACCTAGAGACCTAGAATGCTCCCAATTGACCATATTCTTTCCAGGTGCTTTCTCCGCCAATCAGTTTCCCGTCCAGGCATCCTTGAGCACAGCGAAGTTTTCGTTGAGCGCAGCCGGAGCGCAGGATACCTGGGTGAGTTGGAAAAGGGGTACAGCCACCGCTCGGAAAGGTAGATTGTCGATTAAATCAAGACAAAAGAAAACAATGTACAGGTATGTATATACACATATATATATATGTGCATAGACCAGAGAATCTAGGTAGATATTGTTCATGTACATAATTGTAACGAGGTCGTGAGTCATATTTTTTCTATCATCGCAAAACAAACACAACTCTGAATCTTTGGAAGCGGAAAGGCTTGATCTCAAGGTTGGCAGAATATTTCTATTTGCGTAATTTATAAGAATTGATTAGTTCCAAAAAAAGACAAATTCATGGAAAGATGATAAGCCGATTTCATGGGTCAACCTGTCGTTGAGTCCCAAGACATCCTTTGCTAGGAGGGTGAGCTCCTCCGTTTGGCCTTGGGCGATGAGGCTGGGATTTTCCATTGGGATTCAGCCATTCAGCCCATGGTTTTCCCGAACATGACCTACAAACATGGTTGCATTGTCCACTTGTCATGCCAAAAAAATGATGATTTGGAGGAGAGCCTCCAGGACTTTTCTACATCTTTGCAAAATGAGCCATTTATGATCGCCAGAGGGTACTAGTAGTGTGTTTGAATCAAAACAGAGTTAATTCAATGAATTGTCTAAACCGAGAATGCATAATATACATTTACCCTCTGGTAATTTAACGCAGCTATGGAAAATCATCATTTTCAATAGCTATGTGACAAATTACCAGGCCGGGTATACCGATTCGATTGCTTTCTTTTCGCCAACAAGGGGCACCATGGGGCACCAATGGACAAAACGGATCAGCAAGCGACAGTCATTTTTTGAATTCTTTTAGACATAGCTTTGCGCAGGACTTCTAGGTTTCCAGAAAGAAACATGTATATTTATATAAATATAATTTAATATAATATGTAATATATAATAGAATATAATATAGTATAATATAATTTAAATAACATTTAAATATCATTTAAATATCATATACATATGTTTTATTATAGTATATTTTTTTATATATTATATATTCTAAACTTAACTAAACATATTGTAGTTTGCTATGGGTAAATTATAACGACCTCGAACGAGAGTTAGTGGGCTCAACTGTCACAAATACATACAACACCAGGACCAAAGTTTTTCCTCTTGACTAGCTACTCCAACCCTCTCCCCTTAGACTCCTGACAGGTTGCATATGGATGACATGGCGGATCGCGGATCAGCTGGTTTGCTTTACTGTAAAATTTTAATTTATTCTGACTTGAAATACGATCTGCCACGCAGGCCACGCGAAATGAGGATAATTAATCCGCGGCTGAGGATGCTGATATTAATAAGGCACAACACCAGGACCAAAGTTTTTCCTCCTCATCTAGTCTAATTTCAAAGTCAGTGAATGAATGTAATTCACCGAGATATATATCTTTTGAGATCTGCAGAAGATGTAGTAAATTCCATCAAACTTTTACAGTCAAGATGATATCTACTGTATCACATACAAATTCACACTTTGTAAACATGTCCCTGTGTTCAGCTTGCGTCGAACCGTCCTATTTCTGTCTCGACCTCGAGCTTCCACCCTTCTGTAAGAGGCAGCCGAATCGATCATGATGGTGCTGCAGATGGTGAAACGTCCTTCGGATGCCGTCGAGCTGGTATTGGTGTCGATGGTCATCAATCATCATCAATTTTATCAATATGGGGTGCTTCACCCCCGGAATCGTCAGTGGCTTAGTTCACTCCAGATGTAGACATTGCCACAACTTACCATACCGAACTGGAGGGAAGTAACACACTTAACAACTGGAGGAACCACCAAGTAGGGATATATATATATATACACCCATTGTAGTAGCATACAGAAACCCATAACAAGGAGGAAAAAAATATCTTACCACTCGTTGAACAGGAATTTACTGTTCAATCCCTTTAGCGGTGGCATAGATGACCATGCCCAATCTACCATCAAAGTGGCCATTGGTCTGGGTGAGGGATGAACATTACAAACTGCAGCGATCCCGCAAAGCCCTTTTTTTTATGTTTTGGTAAATGATGCTTGGTAATCATCCCCAAAAAGTGCCTTTTTTTTAAGGCTAGGAAGCATTATCGCTTGCCCATATTTCAGCATTTTTTTTGTGACTGGTAGGTGAAAATTAGCTAGTACTCAGCTAAATTTACAGTTTCCTGCTGTTACAAAACCCAAAGGTTTTTTGATTTTCCAACATTTGAGTGTGTTCATGATTCTATTTCAACAATTTTCAATATATTCCCATATCACTTTTATTTAATTCCCTCACTATTTTCATTGTATATATATATATGCACATACAAATGTGTATATATATAGATATAAAAACACACACATCATATAATATATATATGATTATATGTATATTTCCCGGCCCGTTGGAACCGGGCTTCCCCGCTTTCCTCACCGCTTTCCTCGCCGGCTCCGCGAGGCTTCTGCACGCCGCTGGAGGGCGTCTCGACGGCGCAGCTGTTCCTGGCGGCGCGAAGCTGGGCGGCGGTGCAGCAGGCGAAACGATTGGAGCTGCTGCAGAGAGGCGGTCGGGTTGGAAAACATGAGGAAAACAATGGGAAAAACTTGAAGAGCTGTAGATTTTTACCGTGATTTTCCAATCTGATGTGATATAATTGATGATAATTGGTGATCATTGACTATGGTTTATGAATGTTTGTGACATGATATCTTATGATATTTGATGAATTGGTTGGTTTATCCATGGGGAAAGAGCCAAGGGGCAAAACATAAAAAGCGCTGTAGATGTTCCCTGATTTTCAAATCCGATGTTTTTTTTAATGGATAGATTCGATGATTTCATTGGCTAAATTATCTATGATCGTTGGTTTGTGAAATGGCTTGTGATATCTTATGATAATTCTAAATATACATATGCTATTCCATGTTGGATTATAATGGATGAAGTGGGGGACGTTGAAGCAACATTGGGATAAAGCACTGGGGATGAGGATGTACACATTGGATTACAGTGAAATAGCATATGGTGTTTTTTTTTCAACATGGGGATGTATACAATTTGATATACTAGGAATTAATATATATATATATATATCATGATGTATACATACGTATATATATATCATGATGTATACATATATATATATTATACATATACATACATGGTATAGAATATATATATACACCTATACATATATGATACATTATATAACCAACCACATGATGGATGTAGATGAAATGATGGGATGAGGTAGTGGCATAGGAACAATAACGGCGCGTTATAACGGACTGACTAGTAGATAAGAACAATATAGTCGCGGATATAACACCCACAATACTAATGGTAACTATGACTAAGTATTTAGTAATGTTAAGTATGATGGTGGTATGATGGAATTTTGTAATGGGATATTTTTCCCTATTCCACTCATATGTTGCATGAAAAACAATTGTATAATATTATAGTATTGTCATGACTTTCCATCAAGAAATGTTGGAGAGATGAAATGGCTGCTTGAACCAACCCGCATCGGGATATTTTAGGGGGATGTAATTAGTGGAATGTATATAATGGGATATACTGTGAAACACCCCGGGATAATTCTTTAACGAGATGTAGCAATTATCAGTAGGTCAGTAAGTTGAGTTATCTTAAGAATTATGGTACGACATGATTTCCCAATAATGGACGGAATCCCAATCTTGACCCAGAATTGGGCATGTATAATATCGTTGGTAAATACCTGAAGTGAATAGAATGTAAAGATTTGAATCCCGAGTTTGGGATTGAACATGGACAACGCAGTACGGAAAAATCTTACGGGCAAGCCCTCCAGTTTGCCCGCGCCTACGTCGACGACGTCCCCGAAGATTTAAAAAAAACACTGTTTTGTGAGACAAAATGCACCTGTCCGTGATCTTGGCTTTCATCTGGCAACGCACAGCTTAGGCTACCTGTGCGTTGAATGTTACAACATCATCATCATCATCATCATCATCGTCATCGACAACATCAACCATAAATCCTAAAATCCTAAACCCTAAACTCCTTGAAATTTTCCCTTGAATATAAAGTTCAAGGGGGGTGCGGATTTGATGTTCTCTATAAACTCTGTAGAAACATGTTGAATACTCCCTTTGAATGTAAAGATTAACGCTCCCTTCAATATTCCCTTAACATTTGTGTGGGCGAACTGGAGGGGCTGCGCGTAATCTTACCAAACATATTGGATTAGTTTGGCTAAATACTCAATCATGGGGTACGGGTACATAATGTGATATAGCAAAAACAAACAATGATGGGATAGGGATGATGACATGGTTGACTTGATAAAAACAAACACAAACAGACCATTTAACATAATACTATATTTATATATACATAATATACTATTGTGCAGTACATTACACTACATATATCACATATACATATCACATATACATATATCACATATACATATATCACATATACATATATCACATATATCACATATACATATATCACATATATCACATATACATATATCACATATATCACATATACATATATCACATATACATACACATATATATATATATATACGCATCCATGCATGCATGCATACATACATACATACAGATCATACATACATACAGATCATACACATATACATATATATATATATATCATATATATATATACAGTGATATATTGACATCCCTGTGTCCCTTGTGCCAGGCCCACCATTGGTGGTGTCTCCGTTGCCGCCCCATGCGGAACGTGCCATGCGCTGGTCCGCAGCCACCTTTGGGGCCCTGTTCCTGGCTGGCATGGCAGCAACTTGGCAATGATGAAACAGAAATATTTCCCGAACTTTTTGGGCTACCTAATATTGGGGTATCTCATATATATATATATGTATGTAATGTATGTAATGTATGTAATGTATGTAATGTATGTATGTATGTAATTAGTATATATATATATGTATGTAAATATTTACTCTATATATAATATAGTTTATATATATATATAGTATCTATAGATACACAATATGTACTTATACACCATATCATTTGATTTTGAAATATAGAGCATTTATTATTTTATATATTGTATTTTGAATATTATATATTATATTTTTTATTTACTATATTATATTGTTTAAAATTTATATCTTTATATATTGATAAATTATATATTTAATATCATATATTATATATATAATAGTTATACTATATTTCATAATATATATATATATATATCAGCAACTTATGGGATTTGAGTAGTATCAAAGCTGGTGATTTGACCAACATTTGGAGATCTTGGGGATTTTTTTCATGGGGAAATCATGTGATTTTGGGTGTGTTTGGGAATGGGGGATTTAGCCACCCCAAGGGAAATCTATTGAAAATCTATGGAAAATCTATGGAACATCTATGAATCCATGGGAAATCTATGGAAAATTGGTATTATTTTTGGAGAACATGATGATTCATTGACCAGTGGATTGACTTTTCGTCTTGATTCTTCCCACTCAGTGTGTATCTCTCTACATATTATATATATACATAATCATACATAGATATACACTCTTTTCAATTTGTTACACATGCAAGATCTTGAGTTTAAACATCAGGGTACACTCCTGTTCAAGGTAGGTCCTTCTTTTGGGCCGCTGACCAATACTTGTATATATAAAAATTGTATCTACTTATTCACACGAAATGACATTCCAAACAAAATCGACATCCCCAATACTCCATCTATGGAATATGTCCCAACATTTACCCCCAAAATTGACCCCAGATGGTACATCTTCCATATCTGGAGCAGGATAAATCTCCGTTGCGCCGTTCCCATCCCAGGACGGTCTCTCGGTGGCACCTGCCGTGCGCGCCTACGGCGGCGGCTCGGCGCGGAGCCCGGCGGAGATGGCGCTGGCGGCGGCCAAGGTCGATGGCCGCGTGATGGTGTTGGACTTCGAGACCTGGCAACGGATGCGGAACGTGACGGGCTGTTGGGAGAGCGGTATCAGGAGGCCTTAAGAATGAGATGATATGGATAAAATTGTAATAATGATCTGATAGTGTATACAATATATATATATATATATTATCGTAATGTGAATTCAATTGAACGAGACCCGGTGTGACATAGATTTTTTGGTGTAAAGTGAAAATCGAATCATGTGGTTGATACGAAAGGGAGTGTAAACAGGACGGTACAGTTTTCCATGGAACATGTAGCTTTGATTTATAATTTGGAGCTTGGATGTCCCAGTTGGTGAGTAATACACCATACCATATCCGTCTATAACCCAGAAAAACACCTGGGGATACTAGCAAATATGTCAGAATCTTCCACACATTCCTTGGGATCTGTCATACAAAACTGGAGACATACATACCCTTTGATAAACGAAGATAACTATGGAACATAGTATGAACATATCACTCACCACCCTTAAAAAAACGGTAAAACCAACTAAATTGGCCATCCATTACCATGGCTACCCAGGAAGAAACCTCGGAACATCTCGTCCCTGGCTTCATGGTCGCTGTGGACCACGAGGCTCGGGTTGTCGAACCATCGCCGAAGTGGCGATGGCGCGATTTCCGGGAAAATCATGGGAACATATGAAAATCAACCATAAATGGAGGTTTAGCTTGCTGGGAAAATCATCGAATCAAAACTCAATGGTGGATTTTCCAGCCATGTTTGACACCGGAGTGTAAATATTACATTACCAGAGGGTATGGGTAATATAAGATTTACTGTTTCATATTCCTCACATCGTTGGCCATCCTTCTTAACATTTCAGAAACATCATCTATAGAGTCGCTTAAGCGACTGGTAAGCTCGCCATGATGTGTGTTTATTATTGCCAATTCAACAATTTATACGAAATACTGTGTTAGGTATAATTCAGCAACAAGTACACATAATCCCATCATGCTTGATTATTGGAGTATGTCATAGTCCCCATTCACAATTGCCATGCCCTTTGGTTATTTAACATAGCCATGGAAATTGGCCCATGTAGTTCAATGATGTACTGATCAACAATTGCAATTTTCCATCGCAAACTGTTGTTTTTTTGTTGGATTATTTGAGGTTATTTCCTTGAAATAACCCTTCAATCCTAGTTTCAATCCCATCAACATACCACAAACTCCTGTTAAATCCCATCAACATATTAAATCTCATGAAATCCTATCAACATCCTATGAAATCTCATGAAATCCCATTGAAATCCCATTGAAATCCCCTCAACATC